GGCAACTTCTGCAACAACCTCTTGCTCATGTCAAGCAGTGGCGAAGCGTCCTGGCTCGCCTATACTTCGGCCCACCAAACAGTGTTCTGAGAACCTTCAGTGGTCTGCACGAAATGTTCTTAGAGACCTTCTGGCTGAGACTGTCTTTTTTAACATGTCGGGCTTATGTTCTAAGAACACAGATTTTGTGATTATAACAGATGTGGGTTCCAAGAACATTTCGCGGTAGGCCTGTAAGAATGCCGGGACGGCGGGCCCCTGCTCAATCATGGGCGCGCTGAGGCGCGTGACGCTATTCTCCGCGCCGAAGCAGTGCCGCCGCGAGCTCGGCGTCGTCGGCGCCGTCGCGGCTCTCTGCGACCGCTCCACCGGCTTTGCCATTCTGCACGGCAGATCTCATCTCGCGCGCGGCCGGCTCAAGAGTCGCCCCGGGGCGGCGCGCTCTCGTGCGCGACCTGGGCCACTGCGATGGACGTCGTCATCCGCGCCATCCGCGCCGCGCTGCCCACCGCGAAGGAAGGCGCTGCGGCGGCGTGCGCCGACAGACTGGGCGTTCGCCTCCAGAGGCTCGCACGCCTCGCCCCGCTGGCCAGCGCGCTCCGCAGCGCGGCGCCCCTCTGCAACCTCGCGCTCGACGTCTGGAAGTGCGCCCTCGCTCCCCTCTGGGCGGAGCTCGCCGATGAGGTTCGCAGCCAGGCCCCGGCACCTTCCCCGACGCCGTCCTCCAAGAGTGGGTCCACTTCAAGGTCGCCGACGGGCGCGCCGACCTCGGCGCGCGCGTCGGCCCCAGCGCCGACAGCTTGATGCAATGGGCGCCCTCAGGCTCTGAGCGGCGGCTGCGCGCGGTCGCAGTGGACGGCGCGGCGGCCCCGATCGATGCTGGCGCCCGCCCCTACCTTGTGTGCATTGGGATGGCAGAGCTCGCCTCTCTCTTTAGGACTCCCCTCGAGGGAGATTGCACTCTGGTGGGCGCGCGCGCCGAGTGTCGGTGCCGAGAGTCGGCGCCGAGTGCGGGTGCCGAGTGTCGTTGCCGAGCGTCGATGCCGAGTGTCGGTGCCGAGTGTCAATGCCGAGTGTTGCGCCATCGTGGCGCTGGGTGAGGCTGCGCACGCTGGCGGGGGGCTGGCGAGCGAGCTCGAAGATGCACGTCGCGCCCGGGGTCGACCGCCGCAAGTTCGGCTGCAGCTGGGAGCCCGACGCCATCGCGCACTACCTGCAGTGAACCGCCTCGGTTGTCTGCCGTGCGCGATCACCCATGGCGTCGTCGTCGAGCGTATGTGCTTTGGCGCGAACTATCCGAGAGTGGAGAGCACCCGCTGTCGATGACTATTCAGCGTCACGTCCTGCCCTACTACCAGTGCCTGGAGTTCAAGAACCTCGGGGATGCTTACACCGTGTCCCACGACCGCCACCTCCTCGCGCTCCGCGCCGCCAAGGATAGGATGACGCCCGTCTACCTGAAGTTTCGAGCTGGCCCGAGGGGGCCTGCAGCGCGGTGCCCCCGCCGCTGAGGAGAAGACCGCCCCCTCTCAGCTTTACCGATGTCCCACGTCCTCCTCCAGATCCTCTCCCCGGCGACCCTTTCACGCCCTAGCACCTCACCCTCGATCCTCGAGGGTCGACGAGCGAACTCGGCGGGCGGGCCTCAGCATGCGTCAGCCGACCCCCATCCGCAGTTTTGTGGCCCGGGCGCCGCTGTCCGAGTGACCCCCACAGATAGGGATATAGTCTGCTCGCTTCCGGACACGAGGGGCCTATCCCAAACTGGGGTGTTGGGGTGGCGGGGCTCGGGGCGGGGATGAAGATGGAGATTGGCCGACGGATACTGGTTGCTTCGACCAAGCGAATGTCCTGGAACGCCCTGGACGAGAACTGCTGAACCAGCTAACCGTGGGATGGGACGGGATAGTGGGGCTGAGAGATACGATGGGGGCGTTGGGCAAGGAGTGAGCCCAGGAGGCCTCGAACCCTCGAGAATTCCTTGCCTGAGAAGGGCGGCGGTGATGTCCATGTTCAAGCCTCAGTGGGCCATCCACTGGCTTCCAAACCCTGGACTCCTCATCCAGGGGTTCCTCATCCGTTGTCCTCACTGTGCCATGGTCCGGTGGGGAGGGGGATCGGTTAAAGGATGTCAAGCGCCCGGGGGCGGCCTCCCCAAGAGGAGCCGCGCGCAGCCGACCACCCCGCGGGCGGCGTGAGGCCCGGCGGTGCCCATCGCCTCGAGGGCAGGCGCGCGCAGCGCCCCGGCCCGCATCGACCGGGCAAGCCTCGGGCAGGGCCACGAGGGGCCACCGCCGGTCCAGGCTGCCCAGATTCGGCCACGCGCACAGGGGGTTATAGAGGAGCGGGGAAAGGCTTCTTGGAAGGAGGCTGCCTCTCAGAATGCGCCGGCCTCGCGTGCAGATGTCAGGCGGGCGCCGTCTAAGAAGCAGCTTCCTTCTGAAAAGCCTGTGCCCCTTCCCCCTAATTGCCCATCTTGTGGGCGCCGCCAATCGAGGCC